CCCCTCCCCGGGCTTTCGTCTAACCTTGTCCCTGAATTCAAATGGAGAGAGCGGCGCGAGAGAGAGGCGCAGGTCAGTTCAATCAATAAAGCTTGTCGGTGGTCGCGTCCGGAAAGGGGAGGAGGGCGGGCGCCGAGGGAGAAGGAAAAATAAACGAGTAAAAAAAGCGCCAATGATCGGCTCGGCAGCCGTCCCATGCCATGTCGGCCGGCGTCGGCGCGTCGGCGCACCGCGAGTCGCTCTCCTTCTGAACGCATCCCGGTTGCCTGGGGGACGCCGGCCACAACACCACCAGGCCGCCCTCACCGCCCTTCACCCCTAACTACGCCTCCGAGGCGCGCGCGATGACGCGACGACGGGGAAGTGGTGCCCCGCAGGGGAGTCCAAGAAGGGGGCGCGACCAGTCGGAACTTAAATGCGACACATGCGAGCCCCCCCCCTCCCCCCGCTCAAAAGCTACACACACACACATGCGCACGCGTCCCGGGCGGCCCGCCAGGAGTGGCCACACCCCCCGAGTAGAAGAAAGGGACGAAATGGGAGGAGACACTCCCCGTTTCTCCTAACCCACCCAACCCAATTCTCTTCCGAATTAGAAAAGAACAACATTATGAGCTTTGCCAAATTGCTTCACCACCACCACCACCCAACCTCCCCCAAAGAAAAATCGGCGGCTGCAACCCCAGAGGCCCTTGGAAGGAAAACAGTGATAGAATCGGGGCTCACACATACAGAAAACTGCATTGCAAAAGTATGTCATCCCTGAAGGTCTCACTACATTTTGCGTGGTGCGTAACCGCCCCCTGTACCCGCGCAGGTGAAGGGGTCATGCATAAATCGTTAAAATAAAAGCGGCTCAAGTGAAGGTTTAATTCTGTCTGCGCGCCGGCCTGGCCCCCTTGGCACGGAACTTCCACGGGGCCTTACGTAACGGCCGGTGCAGGTCGGGCCAGCGACCGCGACCATGGTACCCCGGCTATTCCTCGAAATTCTCCGACCCGATTGACTGATCGACGTCTACATATTTCAGGGCATTCACTATCAAATATACTGTCGGTAAAAGTTGCTGTTTGGAAGCAGAGCCATACTGAAAAAAAAGGGTGTTTTTCCATCACGGTTTCACAATCACAACTATTGTCTTCTTGATCATCAATTTGATACTACAAGATGAGTCATATAGGAAATTAAATAGTTGGTCGGTACTTTCATCAACCATCGAGTAACTATTTAGAGGATGAATAAATACTTAAATTTATAGTGAGACCAGCCTAAGGTCCGTCTTTTCACAGCACGGGCAGCATAGGAGTTTGCAGGCGAGAGGGGGTGAGGAAAAGACGGACCTTAGGCTGGTCTGGCTATAAAAGGAACTGAGACAACTGAGAAAAATATGATTGGTTAAAAGGGCGCCTTTGTAAATCCAATGAACACTAGAAACGCAGATGACAGAATCTATATCTCAAACATTCTCAGGTTAGTCGGTTAGTCCAAGATATTCCACTCATCTCAATTTTGGCCAAGACATCCATTTGAACAATGCGTAAGATGACCAAATCAGAGAATGTAAGGGAAACTTTCTTGCGAGTATACATTTTAAAATGCCAAAAAAAACTCACCAATTGTTGGTAAATAGTATTCTTGTCTGCATGAAGCTCTTCATTCCAAAGGCACATTAGGGGGAGGGGACACAGCCAGTCTGTAACCTTGGCCTTTCTGATGATCGATCGTCGAAAAACTACACAGGCAGGGCAAAGATAATATTAAAGCCACAGAACACCGTGAAGCAAAAGAAACCGTGCTTTCACTTTATTTGCCCGGGTTTAATGAACAAAATAAAAACAAGTAATGTCTTTAACCTTTCTGAACTTTCATTCAAACCACACGACTTTACGACCTACATCACGCTAATCCTTGATGGGAGAGGTCTGCACGGTCATCCAACTCAATACAATTTAAAATTAAGATCATACGAAGCAACTTTCACTTATGAATCAAAAGAAAGCTTGTGAAAACCCTGGACAATCAAAGAATACGCAATCGGTGTACATCTTCGGCATTTCACAGCAGACGAAGTTTGCTCTGGAAACGGAAACCGAACTGAGCCAAACAGTCAACATACAAGATGGCGGCCTCCGAGGAAAGACAGCATGGGTTGAAATTCAAAAGAAAACGAAAGAAATCTTTTCTTCAAAATGCCAAAGGGTTTGGTAAAAAGGGAAAATATGGTCATGGGACACAATTGGACCAGGACACATATGATTACTTCATTCGTGTGTTAGAATTGCTCAGAGGAGACTTTGACAATCCTGAGGATAAAGGTTAGGTTCTGTTTATGTTTGAAATAGTTTTCTGTAGTAACACTGTGCTGAAATTATTTTGTGCTTTTGTCAGAATCTCTGGTTAAAAATGCGTTGGACCAAACTGAAGGGAGTGAGGTCGACCAGAGCAGTAATCAAGTGGGAGCAAGATTGATCGAAGCTCTGATTAAGCTGGCTCCTCCTTCAGCGTTACCACGATTCATGGATATATTTGCATCCAACTTAAGAGTTGTTGCAACTAATAGATTTGCAAGTCATGTACTTCAAAGCTTAATAGCAACTGTTTCAAAGTTTGCTCTAGTAAGTCAATGACATTTTATTGATATCATTATATAATGTTTCTTATTTTTAGTCTATTTGATTTCCACTTTCTATTTTTCAGGATAGATTTAATAATAAGAAAACCACTGAAAATTCTCTTGAAAGTTCTGATGAAAATTTAACTGAGGCAATTGCAACTGATTGGGTGATTAAAATAGCAAAGTTTGCTTTAAATAATTTAGAAGAGTTTTTGTGGGATGAATATGCAAACCATGTTATCAGAACAGTACTACTTAGCCTAGCTGGTATTCCACCCAGTGACACAGATTCCAATTGGGCCGCCAATCAAAAACAAAAAGGCTCTGTACCAGCAGTGTTTTCATCATCATTTTCAAAAACTGAAGATGAACCAAAGGAAGAAGATTTTCCACTTCCAAAAGGTTTCTCAGATGTCTTGAAGGACTTCTTCAAACGCATATCTTCCCTTCCCCAATTTTCTGGTATGTGATGTAGTAATGTCGCTTTCTCCATACTATACTCAAAAGCATCTAACACGAAATATTTTCTTGTAGAACTAGCTTATAGCAACACTACTTCGGCCCTTCTTCAGACGTTGCTCACAGCCTTATCAAAAGTCCATCCAAAATTAAAAAAGAAACTCATCAAACAACTTATTGATCAAGCATTTTGTACAAAGATAACTGAGGAAGACGACAAGAAGGATTCAGGTGGTACATTAACACCTCTTCAAATTACTCATGTCTTGTATGAATTAAAAATTATAAATGTTGACATTTACAGAGGAGACTCCAGGAATATCCCCTGTCTTTACCACTGATGCATCTATAAGACTTTTAGAGGCAGCATTAGAACACGCTTCGACAAAATATGTTACTCAAATTTATGCAATGTGTTTTATGGGTCATCTCATTGACTTGGCCACTGACTTAGCAACAAATTTTTGTGTTCAGCGACTTTTAGCAAGCATAAGTGATAAGAATGAGGTGAGTTTCATGTTGGTTATGTTATTTTACTGCTGTTGTTTAATACTTTCAATCTTTTGAGAGCTGATATTTTGCCCTTCTCTAGTTTGAAGCGCTGTTTGATGAAATTGCACCTGGAATAGATAAAATTATTGCCAGTGGTAAAAGTGGGGTATTACTTGCACTCTGCCAAGCTTGCAAACGCTTATCAGCAAAGCAAGGGCCATTCATTGAAGTAAGTAAAACCATTTCCTGTAACAATTTAAAGCAATTTGCATTTGTTCTAGAATAATTGATTATGCTCTTTCAAATCTAATTTGTAGCAACTGATGAAAGCACTGGACTGCTATGAACCTGCAGATCGTCGCCCCCTGATCACACCTTTGTGTGTAAGGCTGTGCACCTTTGAAGCTTTTAAGACACCGGAAAATGTCACACCTTCTGAACCTGTAGCAAAGGATGGAGTGTCTAAGTCAAAATTTAACCTTCATGGCTCCCTTATAGTTCAGAGTATGCTTACTTTCAACAAACCAATCAAGGTGAGGACATGAAAATTCTTTCATGTGAAGTTGTTAGTATTTGTCCGTTATGTTATTTAATTTTATTCTTTACATTTCAGATTGTTAACAGTTTACTAGAAATGCCGGGTTCAGAACTAAAAACACTCATGTGTGACACAAAAGGTTGTCATATAATGGATGCTTTTGTTAAAAGTGAATTTGTTGGTGAGAAGAGCAGAGAACGTCTTCTTCACAGATTATTGGTGAGTATCCATTAGTTCTTAGTAAGAAATATAACATCACAAATTACTTGCCAAATAAATCAAGATTTTATCCATCTATCACTTTTGCAGGGATCTTACGTTGCATTAGCCTGCTCTAAACATGGATCTCGAGCGTTAGAAGCTTTATATGGTGTGTCCTCTTTGAAAAATCAGATGAAAATTATGGAAGAACTGGCTGGCAGGGAGAATCTTGTGACAGGAACAGATTCGGGTCGCATAATTGCTAACAAATGGTCCCTAGATTTGTTCCGCCATAGAAGAAATGAGTGGAAGCAGCTACAATCTCGTAAAGAACGTACCAAGGACATGTTTGCAGATATTATAGGACCATCTAAATCATAGTTCTTACCCTTTATAAATGTTATAGCAAATAAACTTCTACTAAAAATAAATTTATAATTCATTTTATTGGTAACCATGGCACATACAGTGAGAATTACAATTTTATTAACAGCTGAAGTTAGTCTTTTACAAGAATAGAACACCATACTGATATGAACAAATTCAATATATTTTTTAAAAACTATTTCTGTCTACATTTGTGTTACAAACACAATAACAAGAGTAATATAAAATGGCATTCATGTTTAGAAAAAAGTAAAAAGCATAGAAATGCACTAATTACAAAGAATTCCAACATAATGGAAAATATTGTATTTACCGTGGCTCTCTCTCTCTCTATAGGGTGGATATCACAACTTCCTTAGGCAGAAAATTTGAAACATATCACACAAAAAGAAAAAAAAAATGTGTGCAGGCACAAGCTTTTCTGAAAATTGCTCAGAGTAAGAAAAACGTGTAGAGATCATGAATTAAATGCTCAGTTTTTCAACAGACCAGGTTTAGTACACTAAATCATTTGATGCTCTCAATTTAAAAACAAAAATAGTAAAAAAAAAAATCCATGATTGTATTATAATTACAAAGATCTTTGACAGCAAACAACATACCCTTTACTAGCTAGTACACCCCGGCATTTGACTTGAACTTGGTAACGGAATATCCATACCAAGCTAAAAGGGAGTTGTGGTTCAATGACTTGTTTCATTGAATCTTTGGGGAGTATATCTGAAAAATCAGAGAGAGACAATGAATTGAGTCTGCATAGGATACAATATTCTACTCATAAGAAAAAAATTAAATTAAAATTAAGGTGGAATACCTGCAGGATCACTAGTAGTATTCAATTGAACATCATTTTGCTTGGAAAATTCTTGAAGAGCAGGAGGAACAACACAACAAGTGGCTAGATTCACTTGTACAATGCTGGGTTTCACCTAAGGAAAAAACATGTTTACGTTAATGTCTAACTGCAATGCTTTAACTAATAACACATTCAGTTTTACCTTTGCCCAGTTGTAGAGTGAGATAAAGAGTTGAGTATCAATGTTGCTTAGGCCAACACTAATAATCTTCTTGCTGTCTACAAAATCTTCTAAGACTCTCCAAAGTTCCTGATGATATTTGTTTGAGTTAGTGACAAATATTAATACTAATTTGAAAAAATATAAATACTTTAAAAAAATTAATACAAACCTGGAGACATGAAAGGGACTTTTCAGTCATTGTCTCCGGACAAGCCAATACAAGAGAATCAATGGTGTCAGTTGCCAGAGATGACAATGCTAAAAGTAAGTAAGTTATAAGAAAATGTTCAAAATCATCAAACTGGTTGATAATTTAATGGTCTGACTTTACCTCCATTGACAGCATTTAAAAGGGACTCTTTGTCTGTTTTAGTGACAAATACTTTCACATTTATTTTGAGGTCTTTTTTGTCCTCTACGTCGAATGAATTTGCCAATTCACTGTTGTTCTTTAGTGGACCAATCTAGGAAAATGGCAGTGATTAAAAAATTTAATTTAGATTTGGCAGTAGGTTTAAATATGCAAAAAGAGATAATCAAGAACAACTACCTTCAATAATCCATCATCGAGTGCTGGTGGAGGATCTGGGCTTTCTTTTGCGACAATTTTCAAGCATTCGACGAGCTGAGAGAGAGCGGTTGGAATGAGTTAATAAACAATAAGACTTAAACTGCTGACAAAAAAAAATTGTAACTTCACCCGCTTCTTAAATACAAGTATGATTGCATAACTTAGAAATCAGCATTACCTCGTCGACAGGACTTTGCCACACTTTCAGCATGATATTGTTCATATTGAGCATATTTCCAGTTTCAATGTGGATCGTTTTAGCCTTGTCGCTAACGCTGTGCAACATTTTTGACAATGTTGTGCAGTGTCACGAGAGATATCTTCACACTTTCTAAACAAACAGACAGACGAAGTAGGCAGACGAACGTGCCAACACCGTACGCACTTCAAGAAGACTGACTGACGACTGACTGCTCTGCTGTGCTGACTAGCACTAGCTATCCCAGTCCCAGGATCAAAGGATCCTTGAGCAGCCGAACCGAAAGCCGACCTTCCCGATCCCGATCCTCGGGACCTAGGGATCCCGATCGGAGTCCCGCGAGTAATCCCGAATGTCCCGAGTTCACCCATTATGCGCACTACCATCTGCAAATAAGGGAAAGCATTTCTATGGACAAGGGAAGGCAGTGATCTGTGTTCATTTGTTTCGAGATTTGAAAATTTGCGGGATTATTCCGTTGTAAGCGAAGCGGTTCTAATAGTCAGAAACACTACAGCTACAGCCATGAAAACGGACTTCGTTAAGTCTGCCGTTAATGTGTTTTATCAATCCAAGATCCTTACAGTGTGAGTGGCGATTTCGAGGTGGAAATGAAGGTTTTAATTATTCGCCGGTGGAGTTGGGTTTTCCCCATTATCAATATGCCACAAAATAACAAGGTAATTGAAGATATAATTTTATTTGACTTTCAGAAGTAATAGGGCAAGAAAGAAATACATATCACAAGGGTATGGGAATGGTCCCTCTGTTTTGTAACTCTTTAAAGGCACTGCTCTGGAAGGACGTGGACGGTTACTAATAATTGGTACACATGAGCTCTAACTAATCTCATACCTTAAAAACAAACTTACAAGAAGATAAAGGGAATGTAAACTCAACATTTGAAGTGATGTACATGACTGTTGTGTTCAATAATTAAATGGAGGGGCTAAATCAAATTTAAATGGCAAGATAGTGTCCACAAACTGCTATATAACAGTAAAATGATCGGAAATGATACAAGCAGGGAAAACACTTTGGTCTAAGCTGACTGATGTCACCTTGACAGCTATGTTGCTACCAAGTCGACTATATTTAGACTCAGAATTTCAAATGGACATCATTTTGACTTCAGTGTTCTCCTTGGTTAGAGAAATAAGACAATTTTGACACAAAACAGAACTACTTAAAAATTCAATTGATATTGAAAGACAAAAACTTTAAAAGACAAAGTCTTAGCCTTAAGAATTAGAAATATCCATCAGTCTTTTCAAAATCTAACTACCTCAACAATGGCACATAGTGATAAAAATATTTCAATATAAAATTCAAAAATGATAAAATTAATTCATAACAAACATATGAACAAATATAATTCTGAAGTGATTAAATATAAATTGATCAATAGCTCATTAAAAGAATTCATCAACACAAACATGGATAAAATAGCAAAGTATTATAACAGGTTTGGCCCATCTAGAAAATACTATATATGAATCAAACTTTTTCATAAAGAATATCAGCTTTTTCATCACAACTTGATTGACTTGCTTAAATATGTAAAACTCTAAAATTACTGGGTTGGCTTGTTATTTACTGTGTATAGAAGTAATATTAAAACTGTTCTCCTGAACTTTATAATTGCATCTAAGTGTGGATTCAGAGTTTACAAAAGGCAAGCATAATGTTCGCACCCCGTGCATCGACTTTCTTCACACCTATCATGATAATCGCTCTTGCCATTTGTAAACTCCAATCCCTCCTTTTAAAAAAACAATATAGTTCATAATTATGGCTGTGAAGAAATTACAATATTGCCAAGATAAAATGAGGCACTTACTAGGATTGATTTTCAAGAGGTGTTTGTTACTGGCTTAATTAACACAGATTTTTTTTTTGTTCTTTTCTCCTTTTAGTTTTAAGGCTGGTTGTCTTATTTAGAATACTGCTTTTTAATGTAAGACCAGATTTCTTTCTGAATCACAGAAGAAATTTGATGTGAATATGATAAAATACATGTGATTCTGCTAAGTTGGGTAACCTTTCATTTATCAGCAGCAGCCCAAGACCCTTTCCTGCTCTCCAGGAGACGGCCCTTTATCCAACTGAACTGCAGCACTTAACGGTGGTGGGGGCTGCAGAATTGCTGTTGGGCTCCCAGCTTCTGAGGAGTCATAGATTCGCAAGCTTGTGCATTGGCTGTCTTCACTCAGCTTGATCATTCCAATGGCTGAGTTAAGGAAGACCTCTTCAATGCCTATTGAACAATTTTATTATATATTGTAAAATTAAGTTATTTTATCATAAAAAGTCAACAGTTTTACAAACCTTCATCATGTAATGCAGATGTTTCAAAGTACGTTCCTCCAATAGATACTGCATATTGGTGGGCTTCTTCTCTCAGAACTTTCCTCTGATTAACAAGGTCTGTCTTGTTGCCAACTAGTGCAAGGACCATAGGCTCTTCTACATTTCTTTGCAGTTCTAAGAAACATTTATGAAAATATTTTACAAATATGAATAGCAAAATTATTTTGAAAACCTTAAAAAGAAGTGAAATTGAAGTAAAATAGTACCTTTCACCCAATTTTTAATGGCGGTGAATGTGTGATACTGAGTTATATCAAAGACCAACAATGCAGCATTAGCATTCCTATAGTACATTGGCGCCATGGATCGAAATCGTTCTTGACCAGCTGTGTCCCAAACCTAATTTAACACCAAGACATTAGATAACTTACTCATGTTCATGAAAATTATGACACCTGCTCGGTCAGAACGCTTAATCTAAAAGATGTCTAAAGTTTGGCTAAGGTCCATTTCTGGATCACGTAGAAGTCTACGTCAATTTCAATATGATCTGAAAGTACAACAAGACCAACTTTAGACGGATGTCTTCTAGATGTTGCGTTTCTGACAGGGTGTTTTTTGTATCACCATTTATACCTGTAATTTTACTCTTGTGTCATCAATGTTTATCTTGCAAGTAAAGAATGATGCACCAATTGTAGGACTAATGTGATGGCTGAACATTTTCCCAATGTAACGCACAACCATGCTAGTCTTCCCAACACCTATACAACAAAACAGAGTATCTAGTCAACAATACATAGTTATATTGGGGGGGCAAAAAATGACAATTTCAAGGAAGGTTGAAGGAAGATTTTAGCTAAAAGACATATTTATAATTGATTTTGAGTTGGATTCGAAATATGATGTCTTATGATACACGTTCAGTAAACCTTTGGAATCCAGAAAGCAAAGACTAGTGATTACATAAGAGAGCACACATCGTCTATGAAATGATCAAATATTACCTTGAGATCCAAGAACGACAATTTTGCCTTCGATCGTCCTCATCTTAAGAGGTCTTTTTAAAAGTATGACTGGAGTAAATTCCTACAATATTAATATTCCTCCACAATACATTTATCACCGGACATAAGCCGGAGGTAGACGTTGCCTAGTTTTGACCTAGCCCTCTGGAGAGCGGGGAGCGGCTGTTTTGCGGTTGTGCGTCGAGTCGTCTGTCTTTGTTTATTTTCTTTGAGCAGACGTTCAGGGTATGAGAAATTTACGGTTCTACAACCATCATGAGAAACTTCCCGTAACAAACCAATGAATGGATGAATGGACCAAACAGAACAGACAAAATCCCAATTCATTTGCATAAAGCATCTGGAATCTGGAGCAGAAGTCCAAGTAGCCCGGAGTACCTTTCAAAAAGCTTCTTTCTTGCTACTGTTTTGGTACACCATTGGTTACACAGCTGACAACAGGTTGGTCTATTGGATACATAAGGGGGAGAAATATTTGTGAAGTTAGCAAAAAATGGCATGTTGTCTTTTATTATTCATATTGAATTATAATAAACAATTTTTCAAATTGTATAAAACTCACATAAGGGTGAAATGAAAATACATGATAAAAAATGCTTAATGAACATCCACATTGACCAAAAAAATGTTGCCATCAGAAAACTTCTAAAGAGATTCAAGTCAAGATTAGTCAGTTTATCCTGGCAATGATTAAAAAACAAAATAGATGGAATACTCACAGAAAAGTTCTCTAAGGCAAAAACATAGTGAAAACTAGGGGAACAAAAATTTAAATGCAGAACCTTATTACATAAAGGGATGATGGTGATGCGGGCACGGGCAATGCAATTGATTTGGGAAGAGAAATAACTAACATTATTTGGCACCTTAAACTTTTAAACTAAAAACCATGCTGAGAAACTGTTCGTAATGAATAGTGATGACACCGTCTTGATCAGTGTCATATTGACGAAAAGCTGATGTCAAAGTCTTGAAAAAAGAAAGGAAAAAGAAGGGTATTATTTACAAGTAATACTATTACATACAGATGAATATAAAAAGTTAAGTTACTCACATATAATACAATGCAGCACTGAATGAAGTCATCAAAAAATATAACTCCATTTCCACTACGGTCGTATTTTCGTAGTAGAATATCTATGATGCCATCATTCAATCGATATCCAAAAGTGACAAGTGCTGTTTTCAGTTCATTTCTGTCAATATTGCCTGAATTGTCTCTGTCAAATGAACGAAAACAATTTTGCCAGTCTGTCACATACTTCCATAAAGCACCAAAGTCTTCGAAGGAAACCTGCCCTCGGTTTTGCTTGTCAAACATTCCTGAATACAAAAACATCAAAATCAGTTGCCATTCATAAACATTCAAATTATTATTGGGGACAAAATCTCGAGACCACTTCCACTTACCAATCATTAGCCTTACGGTTTCTGGATTGAAGGGTGTCCATGTTCCATTAGATAGAGCAACTTGCAGTTCTTCAGCCGAAATATATCCACTACGATCTCTATCCACTCTGTCAAACAGAAATAAAGAATTAAAAACATTCTAACCTTACCTACCTAGCTCTTTCCAGATATTGCATTTAAATATTTGATCACCTACCTGTTGAACACATCCCACAGAAACTCTCGTGAGGGCATTTGAGATGCGAACGCCATTCTTGCCGCTGTCTCCGGTGTAAATCACTGCAAAATACGGCGGACCCAAAGATATAGGAACTCTTGGGGACTGTTGTCAACGAATGTGACTCACGCGCCAAAGGGGAAAGTCAAGTTTTGCGTGACGCAAGATATGACGTGTCTCGCAGACAGTGGATCACGTCGTCTGCACTGCAGCAGCCAGGTACCGACGTCACGCCCCGCGGTGCGAATAGCGCGGCGCCCTCTATACGCACCTCCAAGTTCGATGATGAGCGGGTCGTTCAAAACTAGCTGTGTCGCCCCTCGGAATTTTCGATATTTTGTCATCATTACAATCGCGTCATGGCCTCATTTTGTAATTGACTGCAGCGATAAGAGCTCAAGTGACAGTGGGTGTGCTCACGAGTACTTTGTGTTGGGTGGTGGGTGTGTCCTTGCCGCTGGTCGTCAAGTCACGATCGGCATTCCCTCCGGTCGCGTCAAATGGGTTGCCTACCCGTTCGGCGCGTGAAGTGCGTCGTGCACAGCCGCCCGCGCCGTAGGCAACTTGTCGCGCGCGCCCGACTGCCTATTGCCTGCCGCGCGGGGAGGCAGTTCCTCCAGCCCGCCCCGCTCGCTCGCGCGGCGTGCGTGCGTGCGCTTTGCGCTCGTAAACGTCGTAAACCCGAGGGAGGCGCGCTCCCTCCCGGAAGCGGCTGGTCTGGAATAGGCAAATGGCTCCCGGGGGAACTTGGACGTGGTAATATCCGGCGAGCATCGACTGTCGGCAAAGTACTCTGCTCGGTGGAAGGGCCGGGCCGGGGGCGAGCGCAAGAGTGTGCTCGATACCATGCGTTCGAAAACTTTATCTTCCGCCATCTTTACGACAGAACGTTAGCCTAGACGAGGCCCGTCGTGGGCCCCTGCCCACCGTCGTGGGCTGCTGTACCGTAACGCCGGACTGGGTCGGCCCGGCCCCGGCCCGGGGATGGGCGGCGGGCAGGCCCGCGGAGGAGGTAATTTCAGCAGCAGATATGCACCCGGCCTATGGGCCTGCCAACGGGATTCGAATCCTCGACACGCGTCGTTTCACCAACGTTTGAGGAGCGCAAAATTTTGGCCATGATGTCCATACGGCTCGATGCCAACAAACGAGCCCTGCATCGGGCAAGGTACCTCGAGGTACCTCCAGCGGCCCGTGTGCGCCCCGAGGTGCGCCCCGAGGTGCGCCCCGAGGTGCGCCCCGAGGTGTGCCCCAAGGTGCGCCCTCGCATTGGGGCCACCGCGTCGCCGTGCAGCATCGCGTGAGCACAGCGATGGGCGCCGCCCGACAAGTTGTAATTGGACGCGGAGTCGTCGAAATTAGGGCAATTATTTCATCGGCGCCCTCGTCGCCATCAATTGCGAACAACTTGCCTCCCCCCCCCTTCCCCTCTTTTCTATTCTTTTACGCCCTCTTTTAATTTTGTTATTACTTCTTTTAAATCAATTAAAGTCCGGTTTGTCCCATCCACGCGAGTCTTCTTTTTCACTCAGACAAGTGGTTTGTGTCCGGTTAATAGGATGCCGCGGCCGGCCGGCGTCCGGCGCAAAGTGAACGGTTTGTCGCTAATAAAAGACCCGGGAATGACTTTATAGAGGAACGCAAAAAAATAAAATACACGCTTGAGTAGAAAGGTGGAGAACAAAGAAAAGTGTGTGTGGGGGGAATAGATGGAATACTCACAGAAAAGTTCTCTAAG